TGCTCGAGTTACAATGTTTGATTTTGATATCTGCATTTTATGCGATTCATACCTTATTTTAAGTGTTCCTCAAATATTGATTCAATACATTACCTCGGGCTGACCAATTCATTCCATCAAGATATTTGCTGTGTTGGTGTAATACATGTACTCAGGTGAATAAGATGCTTGTGTGATGTTACGTACTCTGAGTGGATATCCACACTGAGCAGGCTTGAAAAATATGCCTGGCCACAGTGGGATTTGAACCTACAACCTTTGGAATACTGGCCCAATGCTCTGCCAACTGAGCTATACAGTCGGGGCAGTTCGAGTATGCGATATTTTGGAACTGAGTCTAGTTCCTTCGATATCAGTGTAATCTAATAACCATGATATTTGTGAATATGATGCTTGTGTGATGTTACTCTGAGTGCATATCCACACCGGGCAAGCTTGAAAAATATGCCAAGCCACATTGGGATTCAAACCGACCTGACCGCGTAGCTCAGTTGACAGAGCATTTGGGCCAGTATTCCAAAGGTTGTAGGTTCAAATCCCACTGTGGCCAGGCATATTTTTCAAGCCTGCCCGGTGTGGATATACACTCAGAGTAACATCACACAAGCATCTCATTTCATCAAGTTCCTCCAGATATTCATACACTTCCTGTGAAAGAGCCAATTCCAAGTATTTAATCATTTCTGGTCACTTCCTTTCTATGATTGGTTAGTTGCACAAACAACAAAGGTGATTGGTGCATTCAAACCATTTAACAGGAAGTTTACAATTATACTAGGAAGTGTATGAATATCTTGAGGAACTTAATCAAATGAACTGGTTAGCCCGAGGTAATGTATTGAATCAATATTTGAGGAACACTTCAATTGGAACGACAGTGAAGAATTATTAAAAAAAATATTTTATTCAAAAAAAGATTTTCCAAGATAATTGTATAATTACATTTAGTAATAAGAATAAATAATATATTCAATTTCAAATCACAACAAAATTTATTCTTTATTTTTAAACACATACAACACCAATTTAATTAAATAAACTGCTCAACCAATTCTATGCATGTCAATCCCTACTTGATGGTCAGCACCTACAGTAATTATGCTAGCCTAATTTGTACACTAACACAAATAGTCAAAATAAATGTAAATGTAGCAATCTTGGCTTAGCTAAACAGACCAAAATGTGTACAAATAACTTAAAGTTGTTAGCAGAAAAATTAAGGAATAAATTTAACCCATTGAGTGGCGAAGCACCCTATTTTAGTATTTTACTCTGTCTAACGCCAGACAATTTTACTCGTCAAGGGGAGAGCACTGGCGCTTAATGGGTTAATTACCCCTCATGTACAGTATGACCATTAATTGTACTGATAATAAACTGTAAAGATCACAACCAAGCTGACCAAAGCAATCATTAAAGATTGTTGGTACAGCATATGGCTTTAACACTGGTCTCTGGCTGTAATCCTCCTCAAAGATATCAGCACTAAAATGCTTTGAACACAAACGACTATTTTTCATAGGAACAAACTTCACTGGCATAAGTTTGCTTATATTCTTCACCCATATGCTGTGCAATTCAGGGAATCTCTTCTCATCTGGAAAGCTTTGAAGTAAATGAACAATTGTTTTTAGTGTCTAGTTAATACACTGTTCAATACGATACCTATAACTTACAATATAAACAATGCCACACTAGACAACACATGGTTTAGTCCACAATAAAGACAATACAATGAGTGAAAGGCTTTGTACTTTATCACATTGTTAAAATTCTCATTTGAAATTTTTTAACATAGCATTATCTGTTAGGATATCGATAGGATTTCATCACTGCATCACATCCATCAACTTGCATGAAAATAAATACTTGCTCGACAACAGCTCCACAAGCTTGTCAATATTTTAAAATTTTGTTCTGCTTTTGCACTGTAGTACACTAACATAAATTGTATTGTATGTTGCTTGCCAATAAATTTCATGAATTCACAATTTTACGCATTCAATACAGCAAATACAGCATGCGTTAAATTATTACAAAAAAAGAGATTATACGAGCCTTAATACGCATGTGAGGACAGGTCCTTTCTTTCAGTAGATTTTTGGCAACCAGGAATTGAACAAAAAGTTGGCATGGTTGCAAATGTCTCGTTTCAATATAGAAATTTCCGACCGAAATTTTGAATTTACTATTTTACTCCTTCTGTTTTAAGCAAATTGAAAGGGGGGTGTGAATAACTTTTTTCTTCACGTTAGTATTTTAGGTCAGTGGTGTTCACCATAAATTTAGGTCGATTGTGACGTCAAAATGACGTAAATTTGGTCAAAATCCGCCATGTTTTTGGCCACACATTTTTGGCTGACGAGGTATTGGAGCACGATCTCCAGATATATTAAGTATAGCTCAGTGAGTAAGACTTGGTATATATATATTGCTTCCCGGAATAATTTATAATTGCAATTAATTATGCGAAACAGGATATTTGCGCGCGCACAGTTAATTTAGGTCATGCGTCGAATTTAATTGAGACGAATTTCATTCGTTATTAAATTCGCCAATTGCATGGTCGACATTAAAATGGTTTCGTTTCAAACGACGAATTTAAGAATTAAGACGAATTCATTTCATGACTAGCGATCATGGATTACCCAGAAAAAAAAACACTCATGAGTTCAGCTGTGTTGCTATCTAATCAATATACACTTATGTCTAGGTAATTTGGATGACTTTAAGACTCCCTAGATCGCTTCCACAGCCACCTACTCATTCAACACAGCCACCTACTCAGAATAATTCTGACAGCCCTGTCAAGAATGCAATCAAGTTACAATTAAATATGCCTTGCATGTTATGTCAAATTGCTTGCCTTGTGGTCTCAAATTGCCCTCTTCTCTATGTATCCTAAAAGCTCAAGTCGAGTAATCGAGTATCCTTAAAACTAGTTGAGCATCCTTAAAACTCAAGTCAAGCATAGTCAAGTAGTAAACTCGAGTCAAGTATAATAGACTCAAGTCAAGTCAAGTATAGTAAACTCAAGTCAAGTATAGTAAACTCAAGTCAAGTACAGTCGAGTATCCTTAAATCTCAAGTCGTTTACCGCAAACAAGGGAAACTGTTGCTCGTAAATGACTACTTATTAGCATGCTCGATAGTAAATTATTTGTAAGGCGTAGTAATATTTCTTGATTAAAAAATCCGCTTTTTTCTTCGTTGACTTTCTAAATTTAGTAAATGATTTTCGGTAATCGAATATCTCACATATCTCACATTGGATTTATCTCTCGAGCAAGCCAATTAGTTAATTGTTCAGTTTACTGTAGATTACAAAATGTAATTTTTCTGTCAGGTTGTATGTGCAATGTAATCTTTGTCTTGCAATGTTTTGGTGCATGGGACTTTGTAAGGGACTTATGTTCTGTTGCCTTTGCCATCGATCTTTATATATGATTGTTAAGCAATAAAAATATATAGAGAGAATATTACACGGCGGCGCGAAGATATGACTTTTATCTTCGAGTGGTGAAAACAATATTTTACGAACGAGCGCAGCGAGTGAGTAAAATAATGTTTTTAACACAAGAAGGTAAAAGTCATATCTTCAAGCCATCGTGTAGTGTTCTGTTTATTACATAGTCCCAAGCAAAAAATTGTGAAATTTCACACTCAAAAGCAAATTGGAAAAAGTGACTTGATCGATATCTTCACTAGTGAAGATATGGAAAATATGTCACTGTGTATTTTTCAGTATCTCATTCTCTACTATATAATAAATACAACTAATTCAAAAAGGTTGTCTTTTGCAAACCTTAAACTCTAAATCTTAAACTCTAAGCGTGCAAAGCATAATGGGCGCATCATTTGATTAGTTTAGAAATCATAAATGGGGCCATTTCTTAAAGACATGGTAAATAAAACATCTCCTTATACGATAACAATTCATTCACAAATAGCTGCAATATTCAACTACTAAGCTTGATACTTGTGCTCCCATTAAGCTTAAGTTTACGGTTTAAAGTTTAAGGTTGAAACAAAGGACAACCTTTTTCGAATTGTATATATAAGTAACAAACCTCATTCAATAACACAAGTTCCCACAACAAATGAATCTGGTTCAACACAGCTGATATACATCTGAAAGAAGATTGGTAGAGTGAATAAATAAATTAATATTACAATGCTGTTTATAAGGAGTTGTAAGCCACAAATTGACGTTTGACTACGAGTATTGCATGGTCATTTTCTTGTGAAATATCAGTGCTAGGCATTTCACTCTTACAGTGCTAGGCATTTTACTTACTTACATTTCACATTTAACCACCCCCTAAAAGCGAAAGCGTTGTTTTTGGGTGTAATCATGTTTCACACGGTTCGTCTCAGACTGGGGTTCGGGCAGCGTGACCATGTTGACAGTCTTGGTCAACATGTCCTAAAACAGTTGAGTTTATCTGTCCTGAATGAAATGCATACAAACAATGCCAGGTCCTAGACTATGGAGACGAGAAGAGGATATGTTCCAAAACAAATTAATAAAATCTTCAAAGTAAATGAAATAGACGTTGTCTTACAAGAGCTTTATTTTCCTGCATGGTTATTCAGGGCGGATATATAGCCTCATCTGCAAGGAGGGGTGCAAGTGTTCCATGGCGTGATGCACGAAGGAGCTTTACTGTCAACTTTCTTCTGCAACGCTACTATTCCAACATTATCATTATTTTAGGTGACCGAATCTGTATGTTGGCCGTTCTATTACGTTTTACATTGTCTTTCGTTTGTAAAGATTATATCGGCTTTGTATTTATCAAGCGTATGCGTGACTGGACAGTTGCTGTAGCACAATACACTAAATATGTTTGCTCAAGTACAGCATATTTGAAAATACGGCTGTACAACAACCCCAAAATGTTCATACATATTTAACCATGATATTGAACTAAAGCATTCATGAGTATTTTCTGGTGAGCTCACAAATCAACTAAATTGTTTTCAAGAAATCGACACGCGGTAACTGTAGAAGTTCCGCTAATCGAAAGTAGAAAATGTATGGTCAAGCAGATTTTTTTAGAGTGGTGCTGGTCTTCTCTTGGGGGATGCCAGTCACCACTAGGTGGGGGCGCTCCTCCCTACACCCCACGGTAGATCCGCCCCCTGTGGTTATTACCTGTATGTGTCGCCTTCTTTCAGCAAAGGGATAACCGTTGGCGCGGGTGCAAGTGGCTGAAACATAAACGTATTTAAAATGCATAATGACCAATACAGTATAGCAAAGTTTTCGATCCGTATTACCATCAGTGTATACAGGGTGTATAAAAAAGACAATCAAACTTGGCATGTTATCGTACATTATATATTACGTTTATCCATTTACTTTTTTCATACCAACAAAGATCAGGTTTTTACCGACCTTTCTTGTATCATCGCGATAAAAAATAACCAAATACAATTGGATTTAAAAATGCCGCTCGAAATCGCATTTTTCCACCGTTGAAAATTGCATTTGTTTTAGTACTGAAATTATTCTCATTCACGAGTCGAGTCTGTGGCTACATAACCTGCATTTCAACGCTCGTTCATCAACCAGGATATGGAACATTCTGCCTGATGAACGCTATGGATAAACTGGGACATAAATCTTTAAGCTTAGTCAAATTTAAATCTTTGTTACTCGATTATTACCGTACTGCTTTAAATCTAGTCTATGATCATGATAATCCACGGACATGGAAATCTATCGGCCTAACGTGCAACAAGGCTCGAAGTCTGGATAGTCCAATCTCTTGTTGTTTTTAGCGAGTTTGGGATTTGGCTTTCGCCGCCACAGTCGCTACCTCTCGCTGACCTGGTGTGTATGTAATTGGTTAGCTTGGTAAACTATAATATTGTTGGCGGTGGGAGTGGCGGTGGAAGTTGAATCTCTTGTTCTTGCTATACACTGCATGGCATTGCATTGCATTGCGTTGGCCCACAGTAATTGGTGTATATTGTTGTTGCGACCCTGCCACTCGTTTGTTGTAAGTGGCGAAGTTTAATAAATGAATTGTATGGTGAACAAAAAGGTGAATGCAAGCAAACATAAAAAACGTATTACATACCACAACAGTTTCTTCAGAACTGGCGCTCGGCGACAGTGCGGTGCCTGGCTTATCTTTACGTGATGGCAAATGAAGCTAGAAGAGAACAATCGTAACTTAAGGTCACACCGAGGGCAGGATGGATTTGGAAACGTACTCAAATTCGTCTGGTTTCGCCTTGGGTCCACACGGAAGGCATGAAAGCAGACGAATTGTAGTACAGCTAACCGTAGGATTCGAGACCAAATAAAAGTAGGGGCGTTTTCCATTAACACGGCCAGACCGGTCAAATTGTTGAATGGAACACAAAACGTTTGGGCATTGGACCTATCTGACTGGAACATTTTGATAAAATTAGAATGAGGTCCATTTTCTCTAGATATTTGAGAAACAAAAGCAGTGTTTACAATATAGAGACCTATACCTTACCTAGGACCGACCTAAAACAGTTAGTCCTGTAGTGTAAACGCACTAGGACTGGCCTAAGACTGACCTAGGACCGACCTAAGATCTTGCTTTCAGGCCAAGCATTAGAGGTGGCCTGAAACAATGGTCCTAGGTCAGTCCTAGGCAACTCTCAGGTCAGGCCTGCAGTGTAAACACATTTTCACTGACCCTAGATACATGTGCTCGAGGTTAATTTCCTTGACAACAAACGTCAATTGGAGTCTTTGATGTTAGCAATCAGCGAATGTCATTTCCTCCTTTGTACAGTAATTCATTTTGCATGTATATGCCCAATTCAAAGAAACTTGGGCCTTTAGTTAGGTAACAAATGTAAACATAGCGTGTAAAGCCTGGCTAGGTACTTCTCAGGTACAGGTAAATGTCAGGTAAATGTCAGTCCCAAACACGGCTATATAGGCCAGATCTTTCCATTGATACAGAGACAAAAAGTCGGGTCTGACCGGTCAGGCCATTAAATGGAAAGCGCCCTAGGTTTCGTTTTGTACTGTACCGGAATAGCGTCTAAACTATATGGGTTCTCATTGGCTAGTCACGCATGCAGGGTGCGATAATTCAAGATATTTAGTCGCACCTGACTGGTACTCCAATGATTATTACCGCGTGCTTGAGCTGGTACACAATAGACAATTTCCATTATAGACTAATTTTAAAACTAGGCAAGGAGATGCAAATAAATCACCACAGCTAGAAAGAGCATACCGAAATTAGTAAAATTACAAAATTTGGTTGCGAAATGTTGTAAAATGTGGAAAATATAGCCTTGCAAAGTTCGCAAATTTTGTATACTTTTGTATTGCGTGCGACCATTTTCCGCCTAAATGTGGTAGGAATGTGGTAGGAATTTCCGCAAGCAATACAAAAGTATACAAAATTTGCGAACTTTGCAAGGCTATATTTTCCTCATTTTACAACAATTCGCAACCAAACTTTGTAATTTTACTAATTTTAGTATGCTCTTTCTAACTGTGGTGATTTATATGCATCTCCTTGCCTAGTTTTAAAATTAGCCTATAATGGGAATTGTCTATTAAGACTCAAGCTGCACTTAGTCTTTGAAATGAAGTACATAAAATACAGGTTTCTGAAAGGTATTTATTCAGTAACCTGAAACCATGAGTTAGAAGGACGACAACTGCGTACACAAAGACTAGAATCGACTCATTCCTTAGGCTTAGTCCCATCAGTCCACTATTTTTACCCATATACGGGCTTAATTAGGGTTTGAATACGTTGGGTTTGATAAGGTCATATGGTACTAGCAAAATGTAAGAACGCAGATTGCAAGAGTTCCGCGTACCTAGATATGCATGTTACGTCAAGATATAGGTCACGCTAATTTGAGAGTAAGCGTTCAATATGGGTCTAGTGCTCCTGGGCAAATGTTAAGAATATATATCTTTAAATATGGGTCCAAAACTTCGTTTCTGGTCGCTGTCTGAAAGTTAGAAATGATTAAAAACATTTCAAGCAATTTTGGATTGTTACTCGGTCATTTTATATGGTTAACCCCACTCCTGACGTCATCAAAAACCTTACTGTAGTTAATGAGGTCAAGAATTAGTCCAAGATGGCGGACAGCTCATTACTTTCGATCTAAATATTTCGAAAACGAAGTAAAATATGACAAATCGGTAATATAGAGTTTAATATATAATTTTAAGAGTTCTTTTGAATGAGACAAACTAATTTTTTATTGCCAATGTCTTTACAAACGTGGTTAAAGTTAACCACTATTTAACTAGCTACAGAACGGATAGTTAAAAAGTAGTTAAGAGTTTTATGCAGTCGGCCCTAGGTCTTAATATTGGCGTACCTCAGGTACTTAAGTACACGAATTATCGCACACTGAGTTATGTACGGTAATTCAAGCCGCTCAGCACTGAGCTCGCAACATCCGCAGATGTTGAGATTTTTCCTCGCGAGGTGAAAAATATCAAACACGATGGATATTTTCCTCAAAGGCTCGAGAGGTTAAATCCTCACGAAAACTGTCCGCACACGAGAAAAACATGCTGAGCTAGTCGGTTAGCTGTAGAGAGTTTTAGATTGACGTTTACGGCAAACGTCAAACCGCAATGAAGTTGTTGATTTTACAACTCTATTATAACTTGTGTTCTTTAGCAATGATTTAAGAAAGCAAATTAACCACTAGTCACGCATTCACCAAAGCAGTGAATTACGATCTGGCGTTTGAAGTTGAATTTGGCGTATACATTTTATGCTTGAACTGCTACGAGGGCTTGTAGTCGTTAAAGCATGAAATTTATGCGCCAATCGTAAAGTTCAAACGCTAAATCTTAATTTACTGCTGTGGTGAATACATGACTAGTGGTAAATTTGTTTTCTTGAATCATTGTTAAGTACCAGAAGTTTAATAATTGTTTAAAATATTTCAAAACTGATGTAAAAGCTGTTATAATAGAGTTGTAATATAAAAAATTTTGTTAGCGTTTGACGTTTGCCGTAAACGTCAACCTAAAACTCTGTAATATTACCTGTAGAATACAACCCATGACTGGTACCGCCATTGTTTGACCCGCAGTTGGAAATGGCCATTGATCAATATCGTGACAACTTGCTTCAAGGGCTGGCTCGTGCATGTCAAAAAATCCAGGTGCAACAATCTTTATCTGGTGAGAAAAGAGAATATGTATGGTGCTCACTGATTCCAGTAAAGTTGCCGCCATATTGTATTTACAAATATTTCTAAACTGAAAACTCGATAAACTTCGCCTGCTTTGAATGTTTCTAGAGGGCTTCGAGTCCTCGCTGTCAGCTTCAGTGAAACGAGTGAACATTCTCGGGCTTGAAAGTCACAGTACATGACATATGAATTATAAGTCATTATTTATGGCGGGGGGTGACGCCGAAGAGACAAGGGTTGGGTAAACAAACTTTTGAGTGAGTAAAAGGTTGGGTAAATAAAAAACAAAACAACTGAAGGGTTGAGTAATAAAACAATATTGCCATTTCCAAGGCATGCATGACTCGTTCAAATATTGAAGACTAAAAAGCAATGTCAACAGCCATGTCAATACAATATGTAACTAAATCACTATCTTGATCATTTCCCAATTTGTCAGAAGGCAAATGGCGTCTCCAAAGAAACTAAATGTGCAGACAACATGAATCTTTAGACTGGAGAAAACTGTACAAGCAGTTATCAAACTCATGTCACAGAAGTGGTAAAGGACATGTGTGAAACCTTTTGTGAAGTTTTAGTTTTTTGCTAGGGGTGGGTATTTATTTTTTGATTGATATTTAAGTTGGCTTAATTTTTTTGACTTTTTAATGGTCACAACAGCAAAATTCTTACCAAGAAAAGAAATCTCTTCGGTGCCACCGCCCGCCAATAAATGGCGACCAGTCTCTAATATAACTTACCACAGCGGTGAAAAAGTTGACATATGGGAGCCTAGTGATAAGCACCAAAGACTGAAAGAGATACAAATGTAGAAACGTTAGCAACAGTTCTATGTCGTTCATGTTGTTGTTGTTACCATAGAGATTATAATCATAATTATAATAAGTGAACATTGAAACTTTACCAAGTCGTCGTCAATCAATGTGAAAATTGAAACTTTATCAAGTCGTCGATGAAGTCTGACGATCAACTAAATAACCTTGTTGCTAACATTCTGAGGCATAACATTCATAATGAACGTGAACATAGTTATAATTTAAGACACGAGGGACTAAATAGAGTAAGAGCATGTACAGAACGTTTCTCTCAGTTCATCACATGCAAATATTATTTTTCTTAGTCATTGTAGGTTTTATTTACTATTTTATTTAATATTGTTCAATAGATAATTTTATATTTGTAATATTTCTAAAAGTTCATTGTCATAGCAAGTTTGAGCGTGCAATTCAGTTTTGTAACTGCAAAGCGTTTTATTAAACCATTTATTATATTATTATTAAATAACGCTCTCTGATTGGCTAAAATCTCATTGCCCGCATGTAAATTCTCATTCCAGAATGCAAAGCCATGAAGTTTAGGAGGAGCAGGGAATTACGAAAATAATACAAATTTGGAAAAATCAATTTGTTTCCGTTTTAGTTCAAGCAAGGACTAAAAGCTCAAAATCAACAAGAATACCTGGACTTTAAAGTGCTCTTTTTCGATGTTGAAAGAGGTTTTTTCTTCGTGATTTCGGCACGTCCAAATTTGTATCATTTCCCATGATAAAAAAACAAAATTCCTCAATTTTTCGCCAGAAGTAAATGTAAAACAGTCAGAACTGGTGATAAACCAGGATTGAATACACGAATTGTAGCCAAAAGGGGAAAAATAGATTTTCTTGGTTTCACATCCGGGTATAACTCAAGTTTGCCCCAATCAGCAAAATTCAATCCGTCTCAGAACATTGAGGAATTCAACCGCATTGCATGCTAAAGTCGTGAAATCGATATCTTGCGAACGGCGACGTCTGATTAACAATAATAATATTTATTCATAGCTAACAATAGTTTCGCATTCTATGACAACAATAAACGTAAGAATATAGTCGCATTTTTCGGGCGAGAGGACGCATCGACGGTTTTGGTAAATATGTAAGGTAGACACATTCATACGCGTGTCTCAGAACACATGGGACTTACTCAGTCGTGTAGAGGGGGGTCAGTCCCCCTTATTAGATGCTCAGGGGGGCTGAGCTCCCTTGTTAAAAATTTAATGCCGGTTTGGGGGACTGATCTCCCGATATTTTTGCCAACTGCTTTATCCATAACTTGGAAAGTTATTTGCAACTGTAGGGTTCACATGAGACGGTAATGATGTTAGCAATCTGTTCATCACAGATTATGATAAACCATTAGGTCATGAATGTGGCTCCAACATGAAATAACTTTGGTATATCGGAATCTTCTATTTGAAGTTAAGCCCTTTCTTCAAAAAGCACTAATTGAATGAGCGACACTTGTTCAAAAGCCAGCAAGCTAGCGATAGTAAAAATTGGCAAAGTATTGTTGTAATAGATCACGTGATTTGTCACGTGACACATTGATTACTTGCTCACATTTGTTCGAAAGCCCATTGCAAGTGCATTCACACGAGACCTTTTTCGTAAGATTTGGTTAAAAGCCAACCAATCTATGGGCCTCGCGGTATCTAGCCTCGCTCTCATGTTATTCTCATTTTTATTGGGGCTAAAAAAAACGATATCTCGACACCATACCACGAATTGATAGTACAAAGTATCTCATGTTAAAAAGCATATAAATACCTGTGGTTCCGGTTTCATATCGTGAAAAAATTAGGGTCGGTATAGGTCGGAAATAAATTTTTTTTGAATATTTTTTTCATGGTTTTGGTAGTTTTTGCTGGGCGATTTGCAGTAGAGTCCCAACATCAATATTAACTAGAGATGCGTATTTCCTAAGGACGAATTTAGGCAATTTGGTTCAATAATTAGTGTGACAACAGACGCCATTTTGGCACGCTGTATGAGCAGCCCGCAACCACCCGGAGAAAATAGGGTCGCACGGTCAATCGCGTTGAAAAAATAATAGGGTCGGCAGAAAAAAATAGGGTCGGTCGGAAAACCGGAACCACAGGTATTTTTTTAGGCCTAAGGCCGTTTCTGAAAATAACTCCCAAACTGATAACAGCTAACATGGTGGTTAGAAAACCAAAGCTTGCCATATAGAAACTGTACGTACACACGCGCTCTTTTCCACCTCAGTTAATAATGTACATACCTTCTGAAAGTAACCTCTTGGTATAGTCGGGTCTTTCACTTGTCGAAAATATACAAATCCATAGTAATGACCTTGGTCACTCTAAAATAGAAGCGAAACAACTGATACATTGCAAGCTGCACTGACGAGGCGTAGAACGCTTGATTATAGAGTTATTAACTGCAGTCATTTCTAAAAATAATAGAACTTGTCAAATTAGTTAATATCGCATTTGGCAGTTTTTGAAGTTCTATATTTGAAATAAAACCAACACTCCGAAAAAACGTTATATACATGTATGATATGGTTCATGGCATTTAAACCAGTGATTTAGAATCTTGTTGTCGTCTGTTTCTACATGTATCCGTAGCAGGGGGGTGAGCGGAGGTGAGACACTGGGAACAGGGCCGCAGAGAGGGGGGGGGGGGCAGGGGGGATGCAAATTGCCCCGGGCCCCGAGGTGCTGGGGGGCCCTGAAAATTTCTTGTTGGGCCCCAGTCTGTTTTGTGTGTTAAATATTTTCGCGCAAAGGACAAGATATCTGTTTTTTGGGCTAAGTACCGAAATTTGGTATAAAAAATGTGATAAAGTCTCTGGAAAGCAATTGCAACGTACTCGTCCGGAATTTTTCCGGAAAAATTTTTTAGATAGGGGCCCCTAAAAAAAAATTGCCCCGGGCCCCCGCCAACCTCTCGGCGACACTGACTGCGAACGAGGTTGGCCTGATATTTCCATCAAACTTGTTACAAGTTGTTAACAGCTTGTAACAAGCTTGTTGATACTATCAGACTTGCACGTTGGAAGACTGTTCCAAAAAGTCTGATTCAGTCATGATATAACAATATTGTTACAACCTTATGTCATCAACCTTGTAACATTCTTGTTATAATTTATCAGGGTCAGAATTTATTAGGGATATTAATCATTACCCCAATGCAACAATTATTAAAATAGCGGGACAAAAAGCGATATCAGTGACAAAACTCGACAACTGGACTATGCAGCTCAGTTGGTTAGAGCGCTGCATCGGAATCGCAGAACCACATGTTATATTCTTACCAAAGGGGCTATAGTTGCATTTTTCGCAACTACTCCTGCAGGTTAGGTCTAAAATTGTATATAAGTTAGACCGCGAGCAGTCCCTCGGGAGAAAGGAGGGCCCGCCGACAACAAATCAAGAAACGAAATACGCCCACTTTTAGCTCTTGTCAAATTGGCTCCGCCTTTGCATAAACATCACTTATATCCAATTAAATCTATTCAATAGGAACCGTTAATGTCATCTTTATTTATAAAATCAACATTCTGTCTGGAAATTACTTATAGCATAATTACTTACGTGTCATATTTGATTGACAGGCGTATCGATTTCGATCAATGGAAATTTTGTGTTTTGTGGGTAACGCTTATCTCGTTTCTTGATGTGTTGTCGGCAGACCCTCCTTTCCTTTCGCAAGCTCGGAAATCTAAACCCGCGGAAAGGAGGGACCGCTCGCAGTCTATGTGTAAGTTTCCGCTCGAAATTTCTATCTCCCATGGGAATTTTCATGAACGTACTTTATAACCAAATGGCAATCCATTTTCATTTGAGCGACAACAGTTATTCTTCTTGCAAATGTTCGACTCCGATCTTATTCGAAAGTGGAACTGTGTATCGCCCATACAACCTAAAAACAAGGAGAATTTTTAGTAATTGATCGATCATAATATGTATCGCTATCAGACCGATTTTTGCCGTATCGGTAGACATTCGGAATCGGTAGAATGATTTATATTAAAAAACCGACTGATGAAAAAATACACTCTTTAAAAATGATATGACTTATATGTATTGCGCGTTTGCCTTGCGTTTTAACGCAATATGTTAAGTCAATGCGTGAAGTGTGCCATTTACTGTATTTAACGGTTTAACGAACTTTGGTTGCAGTAACATGTTGTATTGGGTTGCAGTAACATATTCCTTGAGATACCATTTGCTAAAATATCTCCGCAGTTCACATTTCTTGCTAAAACGTGTATCTCATTCACCTGATCTTTGCGGGTCTTGATGTTGGTCAATGCTCTGCCAGACTGTTTTTCGCAGACTTTCGAAAGGGATTTGATCTAGTTGATCACAACATACAGTAATAGTCCACGAGCTTGTTAGATCGACGCGTTCACTCAGTAATAGTACGATGAATTAAATCTTTCCTTATCAATTGAGAGCAGTGTGCGAGGATCGGCAAGCCCATTTCATCTTGGAAAACGGTTAATGGTGGCCTCCGGCAAGGAACAAAACTTGGACCTATATTATTTGCAGTACTAGCGAACCCAATAATGAGAGACTGGCATGGACGAATAAAGTTCGTGGATGACGTTATATATATATATATATAGCTATGGGGATCATTCCCCGTTGTTCACCCAGTTTACTGCCTATTGTTGTGGATGGAATCAGTAAGTTTGCGTCAAACCGCGGTACGGAACTTGATCCCCAAAAGTGCAAAGAAATGTCCAAATATTAACCCGATCTACGTTTCTGGTTGACCGTCGATACCGTATCCTCATTCAAATCACTTGGTCTTACTTTATCGAACGACCTGTCCTGGAATTGTCATGTCCGCAATGTGATAAAAAAGGTAAACTCTAGCCTTTTCCTTTACGTCAGCTTAAGAGGGTTGGTTAATGTCAGTCGGATTTGGTAGAAATATATTGTTCATTCATAAAATCTGCTGTTGAATACACATACAGCCCGTGCTTAATTGTTCGAATCTGACGATTAACCTGTCCGATTTAATTGAAAACATCCAGAAACGTGCGCTTAGGATTATCTTCCCGTCCTATGGATCGGCCTTATCATATTCAAATTTAGAGACCCTTGGATGTAGAAGAATAATCTTAGTAAATCCTTCATTGAGAAGTTGAAGTCTGTCGAACGTACACAAAACAACCCTCTAGCACAGACTATAAACAATCGCCCTCAAGTAAGCGATAAAAAGTACAATCTAAAGTCACAACTTATTAATAAGCCTCATACGAGCACGTATAGCCAGGTTTAGAGACTTTATTACAATTAAATTTTCTTAATGTATATACGAATGTTATTTAGGTAGTTATTTTGTATATACCGTGCAATTCAGTTTCCTGCAAAGCGGTTTAATAAACAGATTATTATTATGTTTTATCTCTACGTGTTACAATCTTCCGGCTGCTGGATTGAGTTGGTTTTCGTATAGCGTTGAGTATAATAATCATGCACGTTATGGTCAGACACGACAAAAGGTGTATAGCGCAGAGCAGAATTCTTAAAATGAATGTAAATTCGTGAGTATTAGGTCGAGAGTTTGATCAATTCTAGTTGGGACGTGAATCATTTGTTTCATCTTGAATTGATTCAGTAGGCGAGTAATTTTCAAACGATTACATTCGCCTGCCAACATTAATCCACAGCCTGGATGATAGCTCTCTATTGAGGTAGTTAAATTTAGTGATGTAGATAAATAGTTAAGCATGACGCTGTCATCAGTATTTGGCGGGTGATACAGGGTGCCGAGAACCATAGAAGGTATGCCCCGAGTTAGTCTTTTCGGTCGAAGACTGGCCCATAGAACCTCAAAATCTGATTGATACAAATGGTCTAAACGTTGATATGGGATTGAATTTAATTATGTATAATCCAACTCCGCCGTGAGTACCCGTAGAACGGTCTTTGTAAATAAAATTGTACCCTGCAATATACAGGCAAGATTCGCTCATTGACTCGTGGCCAGGCACATTTCTTAAGCTTGCCCGGTGTGGACAATACACTCCGAGTAACATCACAAACATTATATTCACCTGTAGTGAGTACATAACACCAACACAGAAAACAACTAGAGGGCACTCTGAGACTGCATACCTCCGCCCGTTACTCGGAAGTGAAACGCAACCTTGGAATTTCCTAAGAAATCCACTTTATAATTCTTAAGCATAAAAGATTTCAGGCCCCC